CCCGGGCCACCCGCGGCGTCCGGCTGGGGGGTCCCCGGGGCCGGGGCCGGGCTCGGGAGGCCCGGCGTGCGCGGGGGTAAGTGTGCACGGGGGGCTCGTGGAGTGAGTGTGCAAAACGGTGAGTGTGCATGGAGAGCTCGGGGGGCGAGCGTGCAAGGGGGTATGGGTGCATGGGGAGCGCATCAAGGGAGCGCACGAGGCAATGATTGTGGACAGAGAGAGCGCTCAAGGGGGGAGAGTGTGCATGGAGGGATCGGGGGAAGTGTGCAAAGGGTGCACGGGGAACTTGTGAGCAAATGTGCACGGGGGCTCGTGGAGTGAGTGTGCAAGGAGAGGGGGTGAGTGTGCAAGGGGGTACGGGTGCATGGGGAATGCATGAAGGGAGTGTGTAAGGCAATGATTGTGCACAGAGAGCTCAAGGGGTGAGTGTACAAGAGGCCGAGTGTGCATGGGAATTTGGGGGAGTGTGCAGTGGGGATGGGTGTGCATGGAGAGTTCAGGGGTGAGTGTGCAAGTGGGTCAGGGTGCATGGGGTACACTCATGGGCAAATGTGCATGGGGAGTTCATGGAACAAGTGTGCATGCTGGTGAGCGCACAGAGTTGAGGGGATGAGTGTGCATGGGTGTGCGTGCATGGAGAGCTTGGGCACGTGTGCAAGTGGGTAAAGGGTGCACAGGGAACTGGTGGGCAAATGTGCATGGGGAGTTTGTGGAGTGAGTGTGCATGCTGGTGAGTGTGCATGGAGAGCCTGGGTGAGTGTGCAAGGGGTAAGTGCGTGGGGAGCTCATAGAGTGATTGTACAAGGCATTGGAGAGCTCAAGGGTGTGAGTGTGCATGGAGAGCTCAGGGGTAAGTGTGCTGGGGGTGAGTGTAGGAGAGGGGGAGGAAGGACAGAGGCAGCAGGGGATGAGGCCTGTGCAAGGAGTGTACAAAGGGGCAGGACTGTACAGGGAAACTGGAGTGTGCAAGCCATGTGGGAAGCGGGGTGTGCCAGGGGAGCGTGCAAGCAGGGCAGGTGCCGCAGCGCACTGGGGGTGAGAGGGGAGCAGGGGAGTGGAAGGGGTGAGTCCAGGACGGCTGGCGGCTGGTGCTGGGCGTGCAAGGGGCTGAAGGAGCGAGTCAGGGAGCCCCACGCATGTGGAAGTAAGTGAGCACTGGTGGGGGGTGTGCATGTGCCAGAACGGGGAGGGGTTGGGGATCACCAGGCAGGACTTGCGGGGGCCCCGTGGACAACACGTGTCCGTGCAGGACACGCGTGTGCAGGGGGTGCAGGCGATCTTGACACTGTGTTTCTCGCCTCCCCCTTCCCCTGCTGTCCACTCCTCCCAGGCCTCGTTAGCGAGCGCATGCTAATTGCTAGCAGCACCGTGCCGGGAGCGGGGCCTTCATGTGTGTGACACGCCGGCGCAGCCACGTCGACACACCTCACAGGTGAGGGCACGGTCCAGGTACACGGGTACACAGCTGCACGTCTGACGCAGCTGGGGCTCCGCGGTCTGGAAGGCGCCCGCGAGAGAGTACTAGAAACAGGGCAGCACCCGGGCAGCCACGAGCCAAACCGGCGCGGGCAGCAGCCTGAAGCTCTCAGTGCTCTGCCTGCCCTTGGCAGTCGGCAGGTGCAAAGGTCCCCCAAAAATGTCTGAGCCAGCAGCTCTCACGGGGGAAGGCAGAGGGGAGATCTTAGGGCCACAAGGGTTATTTGCCTGCCTTCGCGTGAGGCAGGACTGCAACATCGTCGTCCTCATCGCAGTTTGTGCTAGGGACGTCCTGGTACATTTAGAAGTGGGGCCTGTACATGTAAGGGACACTGACAGCTTCTAAAACTTCCTTTGGGAAAGTCAGGCTGGAGCGGAGTGAGCTAGAGAGGCTTGGTCCTCAGAGAAGCCATCTGTTGTGCTGTTTTTCAGCACCGGGTGCAGGCTGGCTGTACCCCTCCGCATGACCATGGCAGAATCCGATGTGTGCATCGGGGACCAGCTCATCCTGGAAGAGGAGTACGATGAAACCTACCTACCCAGTGAGAAAGGTAAGTGACACCTGGCTCCCCACCAAGCAAAAAGAAAGGGAGTGGAGAAGCTGAGCTGCTCTTCTGCATCACTGGAGGATGGACTATGAGTCCAGGGGGGCGGGGGCAGCACAAACGCCATTCGAGGGACTGGAGAAGCATGCCTGTTAGATGCTTCCTGCTGTCGTTGGTGCATAAAAAGCTGCTGTTCTGCTGCAGCTCCTTAGCTGCTAGAAAACCCAAGTGCAATAGCAAGAAAATGTAGCGGCTGATGCCAGCTCTGGCACACTAGTCGGCATTCCCTGAAACACGGCGCCCAGTTTGCCTGCGGGCCTGCGCTTGCGTTTCAGGCAGTGGGCAAGAGTTAAGCAGCTGCCTGTGGCCAGACTGCAGTAGGTAAGCTGGGCAGCCTGGTCCAGGGGAGATGATAGACTTAATGGTACGAGCCAGACACCGGGCTCCTGAGGCGATCGTCCTCTTGCATGCACCAGCTTTCACTGAAGTAGCCGCATTGACTGCATGCAGTTAATGTTGACGTAGGCTGGGCCGAAGGGAGGCCGAGGCCTGTGGTCTCCATTCCCCTGTGTGCAGACGTGTGTTGGCTGCCTCTTGCTTCCCACCTGCGTAGTATCCAGCCTTGCCGGCTGGCTGTGAGATGCTCCCGAGCACGTGGGATGTTGTTTCCAGCTCGGTGTGTCCTTGGACCTGGGGTTGCCCCGTCCATCCTCCACTTTGCCAGGGCCGGGTTGTGTGGTACCGTGTGGTGTGTGCTGTCTGTCACGCTGTCCTCACTCTGTTGTGTTACAGAAATCTGTGACTATGCACGGGGGATTGGGATTGATCCTGAGAAGGAGCCGGAGTTGATTTGGCTGGCCAAGGAAGGTATCGTGGCCCCTCTGCCTCCCGAGTGGAAGCCCTGGTGAGAGCTCTAGAGGAGCGGCTGCTAGAATAGACTGGTGACCTCTGCACGTGGTAGCCTAAGAAATGGACGCAGGAGCCTTGTGGTTGGAGCTGGTGATTAGATGCCAGGGCTCCTTGGTTTTCCAGCTGTGCAACAGGCACACTTGGTCACCATGTGCCTACTCTGCCACTGGTCTGATACCTCTGCACCCTTTAGAGGGATGCTGTGGCCCTGCAGCACTGGCTGAAATGTCTTCACCTGGGAGAGGGAGAGGCAGCAGTTTGGGCAGTGGTGGTGGAGGGGCTGCTGCTGCTTCCTCTGTCTGTGCACATGGGCTTAGCTGGGGCACTGCTCCTCTTCTGCCATGCTTGCAGTGGGGGGCTGAAGTCTCTGCAGCCCTTGAGCCCCTCAGACAAGAGGGCCTGTGCCTGCACTGCTGCCTTGGGGCATGCTGTATGTGTGAGCGGAACTGAAGCCCTTTTCTCTTGTCTACCTGTCCTGTTCCTCCGTGTTAGTCAAGACATTACTGGTGAGATCTATTACTTCAACTTTGCCAATGGCCAGTCAACTTGGGACCACCCATGCGATGAGCACTACCGGGAGCTCGTGGTCCAGGAGCGGGAGAAGCTCTCAGCCCATGGTGACACCAAGAAAAAGGACAAGAAGAAGAAAAAAGAAAAGAAGGAAAAGAAAGACAAGAAAGAGAGAGAGCTGCTGAAGCCAGCTGCTGTGAGTATGCCCCACGGTCTGGGCCCCTCGGGCACGCAGGGAGGGCCAGCCTGGGAAGCGGGGACAGGAATGGCTGTCCAGCAGAGATGGCAGCTGTGGGGCTGGGGTATTGTTGGGGTGTTAGGTTGTAGGCTCGATAAGTCTGCCCACATGTTGTGGGGCAACATGGCTGCTGTGCAGAGCTAAGTGAAGCATGTGTGCTTCTGCTTTACACTTGTTTTGGTCTTAGGACCATGTCCTTTGAGGTAAAAAACCCCAAAAAAACAGAGCCAACTCCCTGGGCAGCAGTGACAACTGGTTTCATGCTCTCCATCTCTCAACTCTTCTTGTTCTTATGGTTGTTTTCCCCACAGTTCATCATCTGGGTTTCTTTGATGCCCCCTCTGCCCTTGTGGGTGATGGGCTCCGAGCTAGAAAGAAAACAGGGTTCAGTGGCCTCTTCTATCCCCCCATTCCTGCTCCCAGAAGCAGGGAATGACAGTGAGCTGCTGCAAGGGCCCTGCGGTGGCCCGAGCAGCTTGTAAACCCCTTCTCAAATCAATACGAGGCTGCTACAGGCCCAAGGGGCAGCTGCTCTGGTTTGTGTGCATGGCTGCCCAGGCCTTTCCAGTAAGCTGTTCCTCCCGGATGATTCGGCTGAGGCGTCCAGCTGCTTTGGTGGTTGGCAGATAGGTGGAATGAGCTGCAGTGCATGTGGAAGGGGAAGCTGGGACCCTCCAGACTCCTCGCGCTGTGGGTCCCCATCAGATCCCTCACCCTTGCAGTGCAGGAGCTCCGAGCCCTGAGCTGCTGGCACCTCTCTTGGGATTAGACCAGTGGCTGTACTGTAATGGGATGCACATGCACACACACGTGCGCACGTGTGTATGTGTGTGTACGGGGCAGGGGGTTGTAAAACATTTGGAGCTGTTTGTCTCATTGAAAAGAATGACAGGTGTTGTTTATGCAGTGACCAGGCATGTGCCACTCTGGTTTCTAGGCACCGTGTGCAGCTTCAGAAAGCAGTATGTTGGCATGTATCACTGTTGGTTGGCAACAAGAATAACCAACCCTCCCCTCCTTGGCAAACCATTCCTTCCCTATCAAATAAGGAGAACTTCCCAGTTTACCCAGCAGCGTGATACACGCCTGGCTGAGAAGGTCTGCCTCACATCAAACCCAGAGGACCAGGGACTGCAGTGGGTGAAAATCCCCCAGGTGGGGACTGATTGAAAAGGCTCCAGTCTCCAGTTTGAGGGACTTCAATAGAGTGTTTCTTCTTCAAGTGCAGCAGACTCTCTCCTGTGGCCTTCTGGGCATTAGATAAGAGTGAATGTGTAGTTGTATGGTTCATGTTTAAGTTATCTGCTAATGTTTGTCCACTTAGGAAATGCAGCCAGAGCCAGGGATTCTTCCTTCAACATCCTTTTATCAGATATCCTCTCCCATCCTGCCCTCCTGGTGCTTTAGTCCTGATCTAGAACAGAATAGCCAGATTAAGGACGAGGGCTTCCTTAAGAAAGGTGAAAGGATGACCCTGAGTCAATCATCAGAGGCAAGTGACTCAGACGCACTGTTTTCAGGCACTCAACCAAATAATCTGCAGCCATTTCTTTCATCCAAGCCTAGCAGAACTTGCCAAATGTTAGCTGATCTGGAGATTTTAGGAAGAGGTCCATCTTTTAGCAAATCAGATGCAGGCACCCAGCAGGGCCCAGACAAATCAGTGGAACATTGTCTTTACTTTTCTGACTCTGAACCTGAATATTTAGATGTGGTTCGGACAGCGGAGTTAGATTCCTGTGTGTCAAAGGAATCCTCTTCACCAGACCTTGAAAATGGGAAAACCATACTTGGTTCCCAAGAGGTCTTTGAGGCCCAAAGCCTGTTATTTGTGGAAGAACAGATGTCTGAAAACCAGAAGAAAAAAGAAACGACAGAAGAATGTGTTTGCCAGCCTGCAAATGACTTGCCAGTCAGAGAAAGATCTAGCGGCCCAGCTGGTGATGAGGAGCGAGGTCCAGGTTTGTTGCAAGTCACAGTCAGGGAAGCTGTTTTGGCTGCTTATGCCTCTAACCCTGTTTTCCATGGTAAGACATGTGAAGCGATTCCCCTGCATGCCAGCCCCATGGAAGACCTGCACTTGCCAGAAGAGGTTGCTCAGAGTCTCCCAGAAGAGCTGAGTTCACACAGCTACGTGCTGGAGAGCAGGAGGGAAAAAAACCTTCGTGAGCCAGTGTTGAGTCCAACCACCAGGCTGGGCAAGTGCTTTACGACCAGCAGCAGGCAAGGCAGAGAGGGGCCAGAATGGGCAAGGGTGGCTGAACCCGATACACGCCTGCAAGCATCCAAGGCCGATGGTCTCTTGGCCATCCCTTGTGTGACGTTAGAGACAATGCTGCGTGCTTCAGAGGCTGGGGGAGGAAGCGGAGTGGATGCTTCTGCTTTGATGGAAACCTGCTTCCTTGAATCGATTTTCCCCTGTGCTGCACCAGAAGAAGAGAAGGCAGCAAGTGGTGTGGGGTCTGAATGCAGCAGCAGCCATTCAAGCAATGTAGCTGATAATGTTGCATCACTGATTTGGAGAGAGGGCAGTAACTTCTCGTGGGATCTCCAGAGTTCCTGTGAGTCTGATGATCACCTGGATTTGCTTGCTTCTGCTAAGGGGCCTCTGCTGACTCCCCTCCTCGTCGTGCCTCAGGAGTGTGCCCATGCCAGTTTGAGGATGGAACTTGGTGGGTTGTCTGGTGCCCAAGAGAGGGATGAGGAGGAAGGACGAGAAGAAGCAGAGGAAAGAGAGGGCAGGCCAGAGCAAGCCCCTGATGTGCTGAGGAGAGAGGCATTGGCTAGAGGGTTGCGAGTTCCTCCTGCTTGGCTCTGTCAGACAGCTGAGTGCCAGGAAAGCAGCAGGCTCTACCGGCAGGTGGAAGTGGAGCTGACCCAGAGCAGAACAGCGGAGATTTGGGACGGAGCAGGCAATGATGAGGTAGGCAGCTTAGCTTTTCAACCCCCTCTGTAATGGGACTATGATGAGGTCTCTGAGGACATGAGACTCTGGTATTTTTCTGCGCTTAGCTAATTGTTAGGAAGGAAAAACCAAACAGAGGTGATAGTCCCCTGGGCTGACGTGGCAGGTATTTTACTGGGTTGCTTAAAGCTTCTAAGGTGCAGGTTGCAGCTGATCTTCCTTGCTTTGTAAGTACTATGTTAGATGTCTCTTGTATTATTCTACCATTGAAGAATGAATACTCTTACCTTCTAAACTATAGTTTGGGTCACTTGCAATGGGGAATTACCTTGGCATGGCTACACAGAGTTACAGCGTCACAGGTGTTTATCATTTGTGTTTCACTTGCTTGGAGGCTCCAGTTAAGATTGGGACCCCGTTCAAGTCAGCGGGTCCGGATGCTCTCCACCCCAGGGTGTTGAGGGAGCTAGCTGGGGTTATTGCAGGGCCCCTGGCACGGCTCTATGAGCGATCATGGTGCTTGGGCCAGGTGCCAGATGATTGGAAGGTAGCAAATGTGGTCCCCATCTTCAAGAAGGGGAAGAGGGAGGACCCGGGCAACTATAGGCCCGTCAGTCTTACCTCAATCCTGGGGAAACTCTTTGAGAAGATCATCAAGGAGCACATTTGTGATGGGCCGGCATCAGAAATGATGCTCAGGGGCAATCAGCATGGATT